AGGAGAAACACAGGTAGGAAAGGGCAGGGTCTGAGTTCTCTCTCAGCCCCTTTTAGAAGAGTTTCTGTCTCATTAATGGGAAACACATCCACACCCCTCATTGCTGCTGTCTCTACCCTGGGTTTGCAGTCAGTTCTGGAAACTTCCAAGGGTCGGGGTCTTCCCTGGTCTCTCACAGCTTTTCTTCTCACAGGTGGAAAAGGAGGCAACTATGCTCCAGCTTCAGGTAAGAGTGGTGGGCAGGATTTTCCCTGAGTCCTGTGAGGTGAAGCTGGCGTATTTGGGGAGCTCTGGTAACACATAATAGCTCCTCCAGCAAATCTTCTAGGGATCAAGTTTTTACCTTCCCATGAATACCTTTATTTTTACCCTAGACAGGGACAGTGACCAGAGCTCTGATGTGTCTCTCCCAGACTGTAAAGGTGAAACTCTTGGGACTGATCTGGGGAGGAACAAATTGGACATGATTGGGTTTAAGTAATCCCCAGAATCACGTTTAAGTGAGTGGTGGGTTGTGGGGATGTTGTCCTCACAGTGATTGTTCATGACTTTTGTTCTGTAGCGTGAAGACAGCTGCCTGGTGTGGATGGAGTGACAGACGATGTGTTCAGGTCTCTCCTGTGACATCCAGAGCCCCTCAGTTCACTCTCAGCAATAGTGTCTGATGTTCCCTGTGATCCTATGTGCTCAGTGTAAAGAACTGGGAGCCCAGCCCACCCCTGCACACCTGACCCTGTCCCTGCACTGCCCTGTTCCCTTCCACAGCCAACCTTCCTGTTCCTGCAGACAGGAGGGGACATCTCCATCCTGTCTCCTCCATGCTGCCCTGAGCTGCAGCCCTGACTTCCCCACTGAAAATAAGAATCTGAAAGTGAACTTGATTGTTCATGTCCTAGATCTCAAAGGTTGATTGGCGGTAAAATAAAGGATTGAGATAGAGTTTATGGAGGAAATAAATGGCAGCGTGGAGAACCTCCCAGAATCTGTGTTCACTGTGCTGTGTGCACCTGGTGGGACAGGGTGAGGCTGTGGGAGCTGAGTGAGAACAGGGCTGTGCCCAGGTGGAGCTCAGTGTGTAGTTGGCTGTGACAAGGTCACTCCTCAGCTCTGTCCCCTCCTGGCTCTGTTCTCTTCATCACTTAGAACCAAATGCTGACATCTGTGATCACAGGGACACTGGGATGGCCAGAGCCTCGTCCTGTCCCCGGGATTATGAGTCACCAGGGCTGCTGTGACAGT